GGGGAGTGGGGGGGGGGCCAGCAGCACATCGGAGACTCCAAGCAGAGTGCCAGCAGCTGTGCTTCAGGCCTGGGCCTGGGCTGGCCTGGGGAGGAGGGGGTGTGAAGAGACAGATCGGGGTTGTGGTCCGTGGCCCCCACGGCTGTGCAAAGTGTGAGATGTTGCATCTACGTTGTCAGCTCAGTGGTGGGAGAATGTTTTTAGACTCTGACACTTTGCATCCACACTACCCAGAACAAGAGAGGTCTGGGTCTGCAGCGCTGTTAATTCTGCCCGCCTAACCATCTAGAAGCCTTGGAGTGCATGCTTTTACTGGGGCCTCCCTAGGTCTGCTTTGTTCTGTTTTGCGTTCTGCATGCCCAGCTGAATGTCACCCTCCCCGCAGCTGCCCCTTGGCACCTCCTTCCTGCAGCTGCTCCTCCAGGGGCCTTCCTTCTTCCTGAATGTCCCGGTGGCAAGAGTTAGTCTGGCCCCTTTCCTGTAAGTGCTGGTCTCTCCCGCGAGGGCCACCACTTCATGTCCTGTGCTCTGCATCGCTCCCCTCCTGGCCTGCGGGAGTTGAGGTCTCTATTTTTATTCCCTGACCGAAAGCGTTGGGGCCGGTGGTGGGATTTCTAGGGAAGAACTCGTAGGTCTTGATGGTTTAAGAAGTCCTGTTGGTCTTACACTGTCACCGTGGAGGTTGTGGGTGCCCCTGTTTGGGTCTCTGTGTAACTCCATCCTCACCCTGACATACCCCCATCTGGAGTCGCTTCTGAAGCCAGCCTTCCAAGCCAGTTTCTTGACCCTCTAATTTAGTCCAAGACAATGGTCTCATTGAGAACATCCTGGGGCAACTGTTGGCAGCCTTCAGGCTCTGGGGGAAGATTTCTCAGTCTTGGGGAGCAGGGCTGGATCTTCTGGTTCCCTGTGTGTGTCATCCTCCCCATTGTGTGCCCTGAATAGTTTGACTGGGGAATCTAGCCTTAGGGTCCCAGGCATCCTGTCCTGAGGGCGTGTGTGCACAGTGAGGGCTGACCTGGGAATGGAAAGGCGGCCCTGCCTGGTGCCTGAGGAACTGGGAGTAGAGTTGGTGGATGGGGAGGGTGTGCTTGTGGGACACGATCACCTTGGATTAGAGGAGGAGGAAGAGAGTGTACGATCCAGCCCCCCCATGGGTGATGTCCCCCCGTGGGTGATGCCCCCCCATGGGTGATGTGAGCTGGCAGCTTCCGAATCTGGGCAGGGAAAGGTCACTGCTGGCAATTGTGGGAGAAGTTGGTATGGAGGAGGCGGACCTTGAGGGAGAGGAGGAATTTGACTGCGGGAGGAAGGAGGAGAGCATTCTGGCCAGGGGCAGCCAGCAGCAGCGGGGGAGGTCGGAACGAGCTGGCCCTGGAGGGGGCTGGGGCATCAGGAGGGGCTGGCTCGTGAAGATGAGATGGGCCAGGCCAGAGAGGGCCAGGCGTGGCTGCCAGGAGTGCGGCCAGTCCTCAGGGAGCGGCTGCAGCAGCCGCAGCCATAGGAGGGCAAGTCTCTTTCCCACGGGCGGCCCACCTGGTGTCTCCGTTCCTGCAAGGTAGGCCGAAGGGTTGGGGAGGAAACTGCCAGCTTCTCATGGCGCTGAGGTGGTGGTGGCCCCAGGGACCCTGAGGCCAGTCGGCGGATGTGGCACCCCTCACAAAGCACATGCTGGTTGCTGAGGGGCGGAGACTCCAGGGGGCATCCGCAAGGCAGGGCGAGCTCTGAATCTTGGTGGGTGTCTTGGGGGGGCGTTTTTAAACTGAGCAGAAGTCCAGTTCAGGATCCTGTGATGGGCGGTGGGGGCAGGGCACAGGGGATCCTGATGGGATGTTTCTGGGAGGTTTGGGACTAGTGGCAATATCCAGGTGGGGGGCAAGGTGGCCTGATGTGGGGTGGGGGTGGGTGCCCAGGCCAGAGCGACAGACCTGCCCCTCCAGGTAGACGGGAAGGCACCCATGGGCATATGTGCGTGTGTGGTGTGTGGAGTGTGTGGTCAGAGTTAAATTCTGCTGGTGCGCCACGTCCTGGGCATATCTGTTCCCTCCCTGGGGAGCATCCTTCTCTTTTCATCTTTTCATTCCTGCTTGTCCACCCCCCATGGCCTTCCCCATTTCTAACTCCCCCGGGGGCTGAGGGAACCACAGTGAGGGCTGACCTGGGAATGAGATTGTTAGGTTTCATCACCGAGGGGTCGCATCTGCTCTATCTGTCCAATTCAGCCCCCCCTTCCCTAGGGACTGAGAGGCTGTCAGTGCCCTCCGTGGACATGAACTTCCAGAATCTCACCTTTTCCCTCCTTTCAGGGAGGGTCTCAGGGCTCTGTGGAGGCCCCCTGCTTCCCCACCCCCCACGCAGGGGCAAGGGGAATATTATGTATTTTGCTGATGTGATTTTTAGAGAATGCCATTTCCCACTTTTGCACTGTACCGTAGCCCCCTCCGGTCACCTGTGATGGGGTGGCAAGGGGGGTTACCCTCTCCTCTATCTCGCTCCTGGTCGGTGGAGGCACGGCCGCTGGACGGCATGTTCTTTTGTGAATGCTGGCCAAATCTCTTATCGCAAACACGATTACAACTTGGGTCTTTGTGTAACAAAAGCCGTTCCAAGTGCCAGCTGTTGGCCTACTTTCCTCAGCAGTTTTGCTGTAACCAGATTTGCACACCGAGAAAGAATCCAAAAGTCCTTGATGTTTGTTGAAACAATCTGGCCCAGGACCCAGGCGCTGGGATCCCAGAGCTGTGTGATGTCTGCCCTTCTCTGAGCACCCCCTCCCCCAGGAAGGTCATCCCTGGAGGACCCTTGGAGCTGTGTCCTGGAGGCAGCGCAGACTGGGAGGGATTCCTGGGCAGGAAGGGACCATGTGGACTTGCCTGCTTGTCTGAGTGCTTCGAAACCTTCAAAACCTGGGTGCTGGCTGGATCCAGGTGTCCTTTCCTCCCTGGATTGCTTGGTGATGGGTGCAGACTTATCCCTAATTAATACCAGTGGGCCTCTTGTGTGGTGAATCCTGCTTTTTAGCCAAGACCCAAGACCTTGTGTGAACACCACTTCCCTGAAGTTTGCACCTTTGTGGCAGGAAGCAGGAGCCATGAGGGTGATGACTTATGCAGCTGGACCCCAGCAGAGCCCAGGATCCTGTGGTGGGGTATGCTCTTCAGCTAAGAGGTGCTGGGCTCTTTGACGGGTCTCACAACCACAGGTAGCACTGACTTGGTGTGTGTCCAAGATCCTCCATCCGACTGCAAACAAGTTCACTTAGAGGAGGGCAGACATAGCACCCAGTCATTTGGCTTGCAACTGTCTTTGGGGGTGGGGTGCAGGTGGGGGAAGGGGTGGCATGAGCACTGGGTATCCTTCTGGATGACCTCAGTCTGGAAATGCGTTCTGGGGGATGTGACTCTCCAGGAAGGTTTTGAAAGAGGCTGGTGGGCAGAGCTTGCACCCGGAGGGAGAGGACCTTGGGGGGGAGTGATAGATAACAGCAGCTTGGAGGTGTGATGCTTAGGACGACCTCTCTGCTGTTTTAAAGCTGTGCAACTTAGGGCAAGTTTATTTGTCTCAATTGTGGAATTAGGAACTGCTCTCTTTGAGGGTTGCTGGGGGACTCAGGGAGATATAGCCTGTAGTGCTGAGTACAGGTTCTGACTCACAGGAATGTGACGGGTGTTGTGGCTGGTGCTGGATCTGCTGGGGACTGGGGGATATTTGCTTACGCATATGTAGGTTTGGTTGCTTAAATATACAGGTCTGGGAGATAGAAGGTCACAGGCAAGGGCATGTCTTGCTCCAATATGTGAGTGAAGCTGGGCATCATGGTCACTGAATTATCCTAAGTGTGGCAGACACGGAGAACCCATGGAGTCCGCCGGGAGATCTGAGTGCAGCAGATGCCAGGCTCCTGCGAGGCTGTGGAAGCCCCTCCTCTTGGTTGGCTGGCAGGCTGTCTGGAGGCTGGAGTCATCTGGCTACAGGGTTCTCGCTGGGAGGTTGCTCCAGTCTTCCCTGCCATCTTTCACCCCAGACTGTCACAGTTGAGTGGACCACGTGCCTGTCCGCAGGGCCAAGTGCTGACGGCAACACGGGCATGTGCTGGGCAATTGGATTGTGAAGGCAGTGGCAGGGTCGGCAGCCTGCCTTGGGCTCTGTGGGCCGGCCTTGCCCTGAAAGGCGATCGCAGCAGGGCATCCGTGTCAGCAAGGAGCACCCGCAGACTGGAGCATCCTTGTTCAGCAGGCCTTTGCAAGGGCCCAGTGGAGCGTGGTGCAGAGCTGGACTCGGAGCTGGAAGAACCCCATGTTGGCCAGCAGCGAGAGCAAAGGCCAACAGGCCAAAACTGTGGACTGCTCGCCTGGCCCATGGACCCATCCAGGGTGCACCCAGACCCGGGGTATAGGTGCTGGGGGTCTCGGTGCCTGGAAAAACAAATGGACTGGAGTGGGCCACCAGGGGTCGGCGACAAGCACAGTCAGCACAGGGCCCGACACATGGCCACGTTTGTGGTGAGGCGGTGCTGCTGGTGGAGTGCATGGCATGACAGGGCACCACCAAGGGAAATGCAGATGTGCAGATTGTTCTCTTATTCTGTGGCAGCCGGGGACTTCTCAGCCTGGAGACTTGTGGACTCACCCTGCCCCTTGGGAGGGAGGTGCTGTGCCCTGGTGCCAGGAGAGCAGAACTGGGGTCCCCCCTCTTCTTTCTGCTTCCTATTTCTTGTAAGCCCAGGGATCAGGGGAGGTCACATTCAGAAGTGAGGCTTGGCCGGCAGGGTTCAGTCCGGGCATCACTGGTGCCACCCCTTTCCCTGTGTCTGCCAACCGGATGCCCGTCCTTCGCCATGCTGGGGATGGGATCTGACTTGTGCTCCCAAGACTCTCCTTGGGGTGCAGCCGGGAGCACAGGGCCATAGTGAGGAGCTGAGGACCAGACTCAAGGGATCTGTGTTGGTCCCCAAACTTAGAACGGAGTTCCACCTTCCTGCCAGGCCAGATCCAGGCTCATCCTGCTGGACTTGGAGGTCCCCCTCCCCCAATCCCCTCCTCCGAGGACAGGGAGGGCTGTGCCCACCACCTCTTTGAGTTGTAGCAGTGGGAAGCTGTGTGACTTAGGTCACTTAAGCGTGCAGTAGATTCTTGAAGATGGAGTGGTGTGTGTAGAATCGTGGGTGGCATGGGAGTGAGGGGTGCCAGGCATCTGGAGGCTCTGGCGGGGGACTTGCCACAGGCTAGAGCCCCAAGTGATTCCATTTTTAAAAATGTATCCCAGAAGCCCAGCCCTAAATGGGTTCCTGTGCTTGATCTTCACAGAGCCACTGAGGAAAAATGGTCCAGCAGTGGCTCTTTCCAAAGTCCTCTGGTTTTTCCCAAATTTGGAGACTCTCTGACTTGCTCATGACACCGAATGATCTGGAACTCGCCTGAGGATTTGTAATCTCTCCAGTCAGACAGACCCATCAGTTGGCCCTTGGACATCCCCAGGCGCCTGAGGGCATTTCTGGGCTCCGGGTGTTTAACTTGGTCTGGACAGAGCCCTGAGACTCCGTTGAGACTGGACTGGCAGGCCTTCTATGCACTTCAGCTTGTTGTCCTTTTTAAAGAGGGCTGCCAGTGCCCAGAGTCTTAGATGAAGGGACAAGAGGATGACCTCAATTTCAGTGAGGAATATAAACAGCCAGCCCCCATGCCCACCCCTGGGGGCTTTTGCAGAATCTTTAGGCGCCCCTGTCTGCAGCCGCTCTCTGAGGATTGCCCAGGGCCTGGCGGGGGCGGGAGCTGGGCTCAGACTTCACTCTGCTTCTTTCTTGTACTTTTGTTTTTCCCTCTCCATCCTCTTTCCCTGAAGCCCCTGACTTTTCCCCTACAGACTTTGGCCTTCTGGCATCTCTGGGACAAAGGGGAAAGCTGTCATTTACCAAAAATCCCCAAAATCAAGGTGTCTGGCCTTAAATGCATTGTCGTGTCCCCTTCTCCACATGGCTTAGAACTTCCTGTGTCCCCACGGCTGGGAGCCTCAGACGTGGACGATGAGATCTTGCAGATACTTGGAAAAGCCTACCTGGAAGTCTCTCCCAGCCTGAGCTCGCCCACCCACCCACCCACCCACTT